TTGATTTCCAAAAGCAAATAATAAAGATTTAGAATACTTGAAATCCCCCTATCAGTATACATTCTACTTTCCACTTAAATATAAAACATAAAACAGTGATTTGCATGCAGAACAGGGATTTATGAGGTCTTTAAGCCTTGGCCAGGAAGAGACCAGGGCTGTTTTGCAGCTAACTCCTCAGCCCTCTCTACTGTGGGAGCTGTTATTACTTTGGTTTTATCAAAAACATATCACATTATCAATACTCTGTATATTCTAACCATGTCTGAACTAGGTAATATATTTCATTGCTCTTTTCTGCATAGCTTTCTGTTTCTGTTGAAAATAGCACATTTTTTTTACTTGCTTTGTTTTCTATATTCTAATAAAAGCTTAAAAAATCTCTTCTAAATAATATTCAGACACATTAGGCACCTTCTCATTTCCCTCTTCTCCAGCAATCTCCAGTAAAGGTCCAGTCTAGACAGCAACCTTTATCTGGGCAGCTCCCTTTACCCCTGTCCTAAAGATCCTGTTGACACCACTCTCTCCTATTGCATCCTTTTGTTTTTTGGGGGTCTCATGTCTTTGTATTTCTGAGTTCCCCCCACAGTTTTGGGGAAAGAAGCATTGGAGAGAAATTTATTGAAAACGTCTTTGTCAAAAAGTTTTTGTTCTTCCTCATACTTCATTGAGTCTAGCTGCAATCCTTTCCTTTCCATGTTTTGAAGGTATCCTCCTTTGTTTTCTAGTTTGTAATGTTATTGTGGAGAATTCGGGTAATATTCTAATTGTGGGCCCTTTGTATAAGACCTGTTTTTTTTTTCCTCTCGAAAATGTTTGTATCTTCTTTTCTTCTGTGATCTTGCAATTTTACAACAATGTGTCTAATGTGGGCAATTTCTGCAGAGAAACCCATGTCCCTTAGTGACTAACATTTTTTATCGATTTCTTCTGCCTCTCAGATATTCCTTTCTGCAAATCCTTTTCAGATTTTGAAACTAGATTTTGAGACTAGTAAGAGCATGGCATTGTCTTACTGAGTGTCATGGCTGAAGCTATTGATTTGGTGTTTCATGGTCTTCGATATCTATGGGGTAAAGTACCTGTGCAAAGTGTTTTTCCATTTTGTAATTGCCACCCCACTTTTTAAGGAACTGCCAAGTCTTGAGTCTCCAGGGGATTCTGAAGTGTAAAACAGGTTGCTTCTTGGTTTTCCCCAGTGCTGGCTTAATATTTAACTTTCTCAGTCAGTTAGCACTCAACCACCTGTTATCCAAAGTTGTGTTGGTGTTATTTCCTCTCTCACTTCCTATTCTTGGGAGTTTGTGTCTGTGATCATCAGAGATCCCTCTTTTTTGGTGTTCTGACCTTTCAAAATCCCCTTTACTTGGCTATAGGACTTGTTCTTCACCAGTAGAGTAAGGCAAAACTTACGGGATACCACTCCCTTGATTAACTTATATTGCATAAGACTCTGTCTTAAAATAGACTGGAGTTAGAGACTTTCGTTGGGGGAAACTGTGAGATAATAAGTGTGCGTTACTGTAAGCTGCTAAGTTTGTGGCAATTTTTTACACAAGAATAGAAAACTATTACAATAGGAATAAGCTTATTATAATAGAAAACTATTACAATGCCTTTCTACTTTTTTGATTCTTTGTTATTTTAGTAGAATTTTTAGGTAAATGTGATTTTAGGTAAATCAGTGACTTAGGCAAACATTTCACATAGCATGTGATAAAATACCTTTTTCGTCTTTGATTATCCTTATGAAATATACTCAGTAGATGTTTCCTTTCCCAAATAGTTATATTCCAATAAGCCCAGGTAATAGCAACATTTTAATCAGTTTAAATACTTGATAGTTAGGATGCCAAGAATCACATAATAATAAGAAACCACAAATAATTTAGCATTACATTTTTCTTCTTTTCCAGCTGAGTCCAGCTTTGGGTTATTTACTTGTACTAACCCATCTTCTCCTGCTAGTTGATACCTTTACTTAGCTTTTCTCACTATTTCTGCACCCCACCTTGGGCACCGAGGTTGCTAATGCTTCTTTCCCCCAGGCCCAAAGAAGAGAGATTTAACAAATGAGATAGGATCATCTCGTGTGGGGTCACTCTAATAATGGAAGCAGCATGAAAGAATACTTTAGCAATTCCAAGAGCCCTGGCCTCTCACCCGCAATTCCTGTCACCTGTGTAGATTACAGGTTCCATGTGGTCACTTAGGACTCCTTCCTCATCCCCATGATCCAAGTTTGTTCTTTTTTTTTTCAATACTGGTGTTTGAACTCATGGCCTACACCTTGAGCCTCTCCACCAGTCCTTTTTTGTGGTGGGTTTTTTTCAAAATTCTCACAAACCATTTGCCTGGGCTGGTTTTAATCTGTGATCCTCCTAATCTCTTCCTGAGTAGCTAGGATTACAGATGTGAGCCACCAGCTCCCTTTCCTTCCTTCCCTTCTTTCTTCCCTCCTTCCTTCCCTCTCTCCTTTCCTTCCTTTCTCTTTCTTTCACGTGTGTGTGTGTTTATATATATATATATATATATATATATTTTTTTTTTTTTTTTTAAATAGGGTCTCACTATGTAGTCCAGGCTGGCCTCAAACTTGCAATCCTCCTGCCTCTGTCTCCAGAGTGCTGGGTTTAAAGATAGGAGCCACCATGCCCAGCTTTCGTATTCTTAGTGCTTGGGTCCCTTTCCCTCCTATCAAGGCCCTACACAGGGCCCATGTTGCATGCCCTCTCTCTCTCTCTATGTCTCATCATGGTCCATGGGAAATACACACACATCCTTTGTCCTAACAAATACTAGGCAGGCTGGTTGGTCTCAACACAGTGCTTGAATAGGCTCAGTCATCCATGCACTCTAACTGCTTTGGCCCCACCAAAGCTGTCTGAGAAATGCTTTCATTAGATCTGAAGTCAGGAGGCAGGCATCTGCTTTCTCTCCCCTTTTGGGTACACAGAGTGATGAGGCATATAGTGCAGCTTTAGCCAAGAAAACAGTCCTCAAAAATTCTCTTTTTGTTCTTTTGTAACTTTGTGGGGTAGGGAACCATCTAAATTGTCCTCAGTCACATACATCGAACACCTCACTTCAGTGTGCCATATATGGTGCCTTGTGGAACTTCCAATTTGAAGTTCTCAGTGCATGCCTGTTTAATCCTCCTGTTAATTCTTTCCTCTCTTAATATTATGAAAGAAAATCAGGATACATTGTCAGCTTCCACAGAGATACCTCAAAGTGTGCCTTAATTCCCCTCTTACTTACATAGGCAGAATTCTGAACCATGTAGCTAACATCATAAAGATTTCTTAGGATTGTACATAATTTCAACGTTGTTATGGAAATAAACTGAGAAGCAAAAAATCCTAAAATATCACTAATTCTACTTTACTGACTTCACCATATTTTGTGAATCACTTTACCTCTCCAAGCCGCAACTCCTCCTCGCCATACCAGTCTACCTGGATACTTCACTTTGCTGGATTGGAGGCCACAAAAAAGTGAACTGTATATTGGAAAATTCTGTGCTATGTATCAAAGAGCATTATAATATCTTCTGATAAATGACTCCAAAGATGTCTGAAGTGGAAGTTTCCATTTTATTTCTGACTCACTTTCAAAGTTAGGAACTGAACCTAAGAATTGGAAACAAACTTAAAATCCATCTGAAAAATTTGGAAGGGAAATGCCTTCTCCATAGGAAATTTGTAGTGATAACTTTTTGACAAGAAAGTGATCATAGGTCATCAATTTACCTAAAGCTATTGCATGAAGTCTTCTTTTCCCTATCCACATAACTGAAAATGCCATGTAAATAATGCTGTATTATGAAAAAAGAAAACTATATTTTGTGCTTGTCAAAAGAAGATAAAAATGACACACTTTCCAACAAAAGATACTTTTGCATTTATAGAGCAATTTCTTTAAATGAAACCACCTGGAAATAGTTTTTTTTTTCCATTTAATTATTAAAGGAAGCAGTGATAAGGCCACTGAGACCATCTGTTTTATTCCCAGACTCTGAAGTCAGAAAACCACATTTGATTTTAAGTATCACTTCTTCACTGGCACTTAGCTCTAAATGTCAGGTTGCTCCAGAACACTCGTCCTTGATTTCATGGTTCCTGGCCTCATTCATTTGATAAAAACTGAGTTAGTGTGATGTTGGTAGAAGACTCTCCAGTATGAGAAAGTGAGTAAGAGCCTGAAGGGAAAAAAGAGGGTAATAATTATATTTGCCACTGTCTTGGAATCAAGCATGAGCCCAAGCTGAAAATAAGTTCTTACAATTAGGTATAGTTTTAGGAAGCTAGGGAATGGTGTGGTGATTGAGAGGGACATCATTCATCGACACCATAGAAGCTTTCATTTGCCAGGCATCTCTTGTTTGAGATGAGAAGTACTGTGTTTTCCAGATAACAGAGACTTGAGATCATAGTCCGTTATTACATAAAAGAATCATTAGGTCTTTTAGTTTGTCATTTTGCTGATGATGAACAAATGTCTAGAAAGATAAGGAGACCTAAAAAAGCACTCAGGCTGGGTGGTGGCAGTGATAACAGAACCCAAGGGTCTTGGACGAGCATATTCTCCAGACACTTGAACTTCAGCTAGAATTTAATTAATTTTGATAGAAATCTAAAATGAATTGTCCACTTCCCTATCTTTTGTTTAACTTCTGAATTACATTTTTAAATTATATTATTACTGTACTGGGGGTACACTGTGACATTTGCAAAAGTTCTTACAATATATCTAATTGAATTCACCTTCTCCATCATTCTACTCTATCCCCCCTCCCCCATTTCCCTATCTTAATAATGATTTTAACATGTTCAATGTGAAATGGGACTTGGGCCCTTAATATGACTTCAATGTAACTTGGGACAATAACTCTTCTTTCACTCCCATGCTCCACTTTTCTCCTCCAAGAGTACCATGATTTATACTATATGAATACTGGTTTTCTAGTAGCTGAATATCATCGACTTCATAAGCACTAAATGTAGGAATGTAGGACCCACGGGTATCCTAAGTACAGGGAACAGTGCTCTCTCACACTTAGCAGGTGTGGCTCCTCCTTTCCCCAGAACATTTTAGAAAAGATGTGCCCAACCTCAGGCCCCATGCCCACTGCTTAGCAGTTAGCACAAAGATAGAGACTCTCCAGTAATGGCACAGCCGGTGTTGGCCTAGCCATGCTCCACAACCCATGGCCTTGAATCAATGTCATGGATGTGCAGAATGTCTAACTGAGGAAATAAGGATGATTTGTGATGAAATTACACAATGATACTTGCTGGTCTCTAGGAGAATCTAGTCCTCAACATTGTTCTATCTACCCTGAGCACAATTCAAATGAACTCTGGACACATGGGTAGCTGATACTTTCATCCCTTGCATATGGGTTGCCATTGAATTTTCTTCAGATTATGTATTCATAATTTCTCTTCCTACCTTTTATAACTCTTGGCCTTACTATAACTTACCTTTGTTTCGTAGTAGTTCGAGAGGTTTGAGGCATCTGGGTTTGAGAGCTACATCTGATGAGTTTTGCTGCACAAAAGACAAATAAAATCATTGGACATTAACAGTACACTTTTAGTGATGCTGTGTATTTCCTGACACTTCTTGATGTTATTAACTATCTTTTATTCCATGTACACAGTATATAATTCTCCTTTCAAAAATTTAGAGTAGTTACTTGCTTATTCTTTCTTCTGCTTTAATCCATTTGAAATGCCTAAGAATTTGTTTCTAGATGAATTTTTTTCTTAGTAGTACTGGAATTTAAATTCAGGACTTCATACTTGCTGGGCATGCACTCAACCACTTGAGCCCCAGCCCCAGCCCTGTTTATAGATGAATTTTGTGTCCCTATACATTCTTACAACTTGTAATAACAAACTAGAAATTGGCTTTTAAGTAAAATATTATCCTTTTTCATGTTCATGCTTACATTTCTTTGGTTCATACATTTGTCACTAGAAGAAGAACCTAGGGGAAAAATTCATAGTAAAAAAACTGGCCTCCAGTAGACCTTTGCCTCACTCTTGTTCAGTATAGCATTCAACTCTGTGAATAATCCTCCAGCCTCTGTACAGAGATTATATGGAGCTCAATAATTAAAATGGAATTGTTAAACTGAAATAAAACAAAGAACATACACTAACTGGGAAAGATAATATTGTTTGGATACATTATATCCTTTTCCACTCATTAATGCATCATTCATTTATTCATCAGTTTATCCTCTTCTGTTGTGTTCCTTTGTGTGCTAGACACTATTTTAGGCACTGGAAATATTGGAAGGAATAATTTCCACTTCTAGTTGTGTCATGAGGAGACAATCAAGATGGAAAAAATAGGTTCAGTAAAGCCTATCCCTTGGGCTGGTGGAGTGGTTCAAGTGGTAGAGTTCCTGCTTACCAAGTGTGAGGCCCTGAGTTCAAACCCCAATACCACCATAAATAAATAAATGTAAAAAGATTTAAAAAAAAAAGACCATTCCTCAAGCCACCAAAACTCATAGCTAGCCAGGAGGCAGAAGTCAGGAGGATCACAGTTTAAAGCCAGACTGGGAAAATAGTTTGAGGCTCTACCTTGAGAAAACCTATCGTGAAAAAGTGTGTGTGGGGAGGTGTTGTGGAGTGGCTCAAGGTGTGCAGACCCTGAGTTCAAAGCACAGTACTGCAAGAAAGAAAGAGAGAGAAACATTGCCAGACATTTTGCTTTTGTTTTTGTTTTATTTCACTTTGGGGTGTTTTCATCTCTTTGACTTTCAAAAGAGAAAAAATCTGACTTCCTGCTTTGCAAGGTGGGGAGTGTCCTGTCCCATTTTATTTACTAAAGGCTTGTTTTTTCTCTAACTTCCTCCTTTTCTTAAGAGTAGATAATGACATTAGTTTCACACTTTCTGGTTCAAAGGATTTTAGTTCTTCAGGATGTAAAATCAAAATCACAGAATGTTAAAACTTCTTTGTGTAAGTATTAATTTTTCAGTTGAGAAAATTGAAACTCAAAGGGACTAAGAGACTTCCGTAAGAGCACACACCCAATTGGGTACAGAGTCAGCCACACTGGGCAGGTCTGCAAACTCAGGGGCAAAAATTCCTAAGAGTGCTTTCTACTATATACTGCAGATTGAAGAGAATATGTAAAAGCAGATGATTTCCTCATTGTTTAATGTATTAGCATAAATTAAGTGTACAAAGGGGTTTCATTGTGATGTTAATGTGTTAGCATAAATTAAGTGTACAAAGGGGTTTCATTGTGATGTACTTGGATCAAATTCACCCCGTCTCTATTACTTTCTTAAGTCCTCTCCTTCCTACCACCTCCTTTACAAGTCTTTGGTGAGTTTTATTATATTATTTTCATATATACATATATATAATGTTTACTGTGCTTTTATGATATTTTCTTATTGATTTTATTTCCAAAGTTTATACTGTCAATTGTGAAAAATCTCTGAACCTCCATGTACGATTGGATGCAGTTAAGTCAGCTGACCTTTTATCAAATACAGAAATTTCTACTTTAGAAGAGAAATCTCTACTTTCTGAGAAGCCCTCAGCATCTTGCTGAAAGACAAAGTTCAAACTAACACTGCAAATAGAAATATGCATGTAAGCACCATAGAATCCTATGTATCTTCACACAGATTGCACTTTGGTGGCAAAGAATGAAACAGAAATCTATAGAAACTCATCAGATTGTAGACCTAAAAGCTAAAACTGCCAAGGACTAAAACAACTGATATTGTTCAAAGGCATTCGCTCACAGTCAGTGCCACAGACCTTCATGCTTAAGTATCCTTATAGCTGCCCATGCTTCACATTCAGTTCTCAATCACTCCCTCTCTAATAATTCTTTACTGAGTATTGACCCTATGCCAAGTGCCCTGCCATACATCAGGAATATAATAGTGACAGAAACTCAAGAAGTTTACACAGAGCTGGGCATGCTGCCAGACTGCATAAAGGGGGAAATTGGAGCTTCATGCATAGGAGTAGGACATAATTACCTTTAATGTTTGCTTCCCAGAGCTTAATGAAAGCAACTTATTGAACAAAAGTTGTCGCAGCTGTAAGGACAAAAAGAAATGTTGAAGAGAACAGGTAAATCATCACTCATAAACATACCAAGAAAAAAACTGCAGTTAGAAATTGTTATTTAATATGTATTATTTCCTAGAAGTGAGGCAAGCTACAGTAGGGCAAGTTCAGGACTCAGAAAAAATATTACCTATTAGATAAACCACACTGTGGCTCAGGAACCACCCTCACCTGGTGGGATCCACCATGCCCCTCCCTACCCAGTGATTATTGGATGAAACAATCACCTGGTTCTCCCCTTCCCCTAGGTTATGGTAGGTTTTTAAAACACCTGAAGAGCAGAAAGATGCTCTCTGGGCTCCCGGCTTCCACCTGGGCCCCATCATGCTTCTCTTTGTATTTTTCTTCCCTAACTTTAAAAAACTCCCTTTACACCCTCTTGTTCTGCCTTGGATTCTTTCTGGTGGGATACAAAGAATTTGGAAGACTTCTGATCACAGACTGCACCAGAGCTGTTAGCAAGCATTTAGTGGACTTCAGGCATGAGTATCAATTTTTTTTGTTAGATTCTTTACATATTAACAAAACTAGACCTAAAAAAGGAATAACAATACTAAAAGCTTTAATAATTCAGATTGTAGACATTAGTAAGTGGCAATAATTGCTAAATTGAAGGTAATCTGTGAAGGGAAGAATGTCTAGCCATGTGAATGATACAAACAAGGCAATTATTGAGTATAATTAGAACAGCAAATTGCTTCTTTGTAAGCAAGGGTTTGTAATGTGTAATAATTGTACTAACTACAAAATAGTCTCATCTTCTTACTAAAACAAAGGCTCCATATCTGTTAGCTTATTGCCTTCATCTCTCACCAAAATTGCCCAGTGCTTGGAAAAAACAATGAAACAAGTTTATTAAAAATTTTTCTACTATCTCTCACTTAAACTGATAGTCCTTCATTAGGAATTTTATTTCATGTAAGAAACTAGTTAACATTTGCTATATGAAACTCTGGAAATATAGAAGTTAGGATATATTTTTGGCAAGTAAATGGGTAAACAAATTAAAGGAACAGAAGGAAAATTGTTATTCCTTAGGAAAACAATTTTGCTCTTGAATCACTATCAAACTATAATTTAAATTACAAAAATTAAAGGTAAAAGAATTTATCTTTTTTGCTAGAATATTCAGAATATTCACATTACAGATGGTGATTAATTCTATCTGGCTTTATTGGCAGTGAAAATTTAGCTCCTTTGTCTTCTTGCTGGAACTGTCTTCTGTAAAATTTTACTACAAAAGTACCTGTCACCCAACCCCTTACTGCATGAGTAAAGGCCTCAGAACTGAAAATTCAAAACCACCTGCATTGGGGAACAAAAAGAGAAATAAATGAATATATACATACCTTAGTGTCCAACAGAATTCCAAAACAGAAGATAAAAAAGCCCTTAAACCAAAAAAAAGGTGGGGGGTATGTGTAAATCATATGTATTGTATTATTTTTCTAGAAAAAAAAAGCATCTGTATCTAATACTGTTCTAGTCTATAATCCAACACGGAATTCATTTTCCTGTCTGTCTAGACTGCAGGCTCCTTGAAGGCAAGAACACTGTGTGACTACCACAGTGCCTGGTACAGCCCAAAGTACTCAAAGATTTTCTTCACAAATGTGTAAATAAATGAAATATTGTATAAATGAAATTTTAAATGAAGGTTGAACTTCATTCTCCTCTATAGTGTTGTTATCCCAAGCTCAAAACAAATCGCTTCTATCAGCTTCTGGCTTCTGAATCTTTCTTTAGACTAGGCGTGTTCAGTTAACACCCTCTTTGCACCTGGGATGGCAGCCGGCACTGAGGGCCAGCCCTATGGCCAGGTGGAAATAGGTTTCACTAAGAAACCTTCCCTTCAAGTACAGCTCCTGGAAAACCTTGGCAAAGGCTGTCTTCAACCTCAAAATCCTCCTTCCATTCAGAGAACCTTCTGTTGGTGCCTGTTCAGACAGTTTACCACCCATGAGCCTGTCACACCAGGAGTCCCCTAAGCTTGCCACCACTAGGTGTGTGCTGTCTGCAAATGATACCTGTGCTGCCATCTGCACTTTAAACTGCTTTTAAGAGATACATCAAGTGTTTACTAAGTGTCTGGCTTGGTGCCAAGTACTAAATTATCTTCTTTAATTCTCACATTTACTCTGATATAAATATTATTGTGATCTTCATTTAACAGATGAGAGAATTGAGCAACAGAGAGATTAAGTAATTTGTTGGCAGTCACACGGTTGGTAAAGTAACAAATGTTGGACTGAGGTATCCTTAACAACAGAGCTGAAATGTTTAACCGCTGCCCTGAGTCATGACCCAGTGGTCTCAACTGGCAATACCTATATTAAGCTAGGATTGAGGCTTGCTTTCAGATACATCAAAACTTGAGGATTATTTTTTCCATTTACTCTGAGCCCTCTATTTATGGGCTGTAAAGTGCATCTTTTGTAGCAGAAATCTGCAAACATTTTTTCTGTAAAGGCCAGATAGTAAGTGTTTTAGGGTTTTCAGGCCATACTTTGCCATTGTAGGGAAAACTGCCATAGACCACATATAAATTAATGGTCATGGTTATATTCCAACAAAACTTTATTTACAAAAACAGGCTGCTGGTGGCAGGTTGCCAGCTCTTGCTTACTGCACTCTAGGAACCTCTTTTGCCCCATTCATAGTTAACAAGTACATTTGGTTGATTTCCTTTCTCTGTGCTTTGTCAAAGGTCTGCACAAGAGAAAGAGGAGTAAGTCAATGGTAAGAGTGATTAAGTTAGTTAAGTGAACTCTAAGATATTGCAATCCTGTAATGGATTACCAAAGAAGTCAAATATTTTGCAGCAATAAGCCATGATCTGTTGGGGAAAATGGATTTCCTTTACTCAGTTTCCATTCACTTTTCATTGTAGACAAGAAGAGACAATCTCCATTTACCAACCTGAATTCTCTGTACTTCTTCCAATTACAAAAGAATATAGTGGATCATTCTTTTTGTTCTTACCTGGAATGCATTGAATACAGCAAAAAGAACATGCCAAGCCAGATTCTGGCTGTCCACCATTGTTCCTAGACCAAAGCCCCAGGTGAGTCCTAGCAGAGGGGCCAGAATGAGCAGGCTCTTTCCCATGCGGATGACAGTAGCCTTGTCATCCTGATTCAGTCTTTCTCCAATAGCTGGCCTCCAGAGCTTCCTCAGAACTAATATCACCACAACTAAATTCACAGCCACAATAATCAAGGCAGGGACAGCAAAAGCCAAGAGAGGTTTGCTCCCATTGGACCAGTTAAGCCAACAAACATCTTTTCTTTTGTAACTATTGCTAGGTTGTGTGACAGCAATAGTGATGACAGATATAACAAGAGGGCATCCATAGCCCAGGCAGAAGCCAATTGCCATCATCAGAGACAAAGCTATGTGATGGAACACGAAGATAATTCGATAAGCCAGCAGGATGCCAAGCGTGAGCATCCAAAAGAGCAAGGAGAGGTAGAAGAAGTGTGTAAAGAACACCGCAGCTATGCAGACTCCAGAAGGGTTTACAGTGGTGTCCACAGTGGCAGCAACAATAAACCAAACATCAGCAATCAAAAGGGACAGAGCTATGTTCACCATGCAAATATGACGTGTGTATGAGGTTTGGCTTTTCTTGGTCTGCTTCCAAAACAGAGCCTCGATGATCAAGCATAAGATGAGACTGCCAATGGAAACACCCAGTCCCACATAGGTGATCCATTTCACAACAGGGACAATCACAGGGGGAACAAACGGTGACATTAGCATGGAGAAAGAGGTCAGGTGAGTACATCGGCACATCACCTTGTCTGAAGTTTCATTTAATAGGTGGCAACCTGCATTGCTCCACTGCAGGTGATTGAAATCCCAGAACACACACTGAGGCTGGCTCAGGTTTGCCTCTATCTTGGAGAACTTCAGGAATATTTCATCTATGGAATAGTTTCTGATAAGCGTGGCTATCACAGGCCCGTTGACTTGAGCATTTCCATTTTTGGTAATGGGTAGTATGTTTCCGAAGGTCAATGAGGTCATGCTTATAATCGTTTCTGGAAGGGATTTCTGGAATTGGTCTGACTTAATTAACACATGGCCCATGATGGGAGTGGAGATATTTTTGGAAAACATTTTAATCTCATAATTGTAATACTGTTTTTGTTGGCTTTGGTTCATTGGAATCCCTTTCCAGTCAATGAATTCTCCAGAAAAATTGAGAGGCAGAGCAGTCGGAGGTACCAGAATGCTTATGTTTTCCAATGCCTCTAGTAACTGTGAGCTGACATGCTTTTCTTCTTGCAATAAAATTGTCCAATTAGCTATTGATGCTGAATTAAGAATATGATCAGCTATACTGATGACACCCTGAAATAAAGGATGGAAGTCAGTTTGTGTTTTCAAAGATGAAAGGATGAAGAATGAATGGTCATCTGTATTAAGTATGGGAAAAGTGCTCAGAGACTTGGCTCAGTTGAGGACACACTAAAACTCATCAATTAAACTCAGCTCTGTTGCTCTGTGCATTAGAAGAAGCTTTGAGTAAAGAAACTGGGGTGCAGAGCAATCACAGACTGAGGCACAAAGACAGAGACATTACTTTGAACAACTGTCCCATTTTATGTTTGTTTTCTAACATAGGAAGTTGTAAATTTATGTCATCGTTGTTCAAACTTTAATTCATGGGGGGTTTTGTTTGTTTGCCACATAAGAATGTAAAACAATCTGTAAAAAAACAGACCCAATTAAAAAACCAATATCAAATTATTCAGCTTGAGAGATTTCTTTCCCAAACAACTCCTTGAAAGTTGCTATTTTCTCCCACAAGACTCTCTCTCTCTTGCTTATAACTGGCTCCCAGGCATTTGTCTGTTAAGTTTTACTCTAACCAAGCTCTCTGAGTCTTACACTCTATAGACTCTCGGTGTGCTTCTGCTCCCTCCAGGAACTTCTCCTTTCTTTTGCCTAGTCTGTTTTCACTCCCCATTTTATACTTATTCTATTTTTTATAAACAAAATATGAAAAACAAATCTGAGCATCTTTGTTTAACTTATTCATATTTAATGTCATAGTTGACATGATGTTTGCCATATAGTTAAGCATAATTGTATGATTATGTAGCTTGTACTATATAATTTTGTAAAATATTACATACTTTTAAATATAAAATACTTGCATCCAAACTGTTTGGAAGGAAATTTAGTGAGCAAATATATTTGAGCAGCTACTGTGTTGCTTGTTATTCTTCCAGGCACTGAGGTAAAACCTAAAATATAAGTAGTGGCTGGTCTAGGATGATGAGATTACAATAAATCATTTTTCTTTTTGTGTATTTGCATTTCTTATAGTGAACAAATATCACTTGTATAATTTATAACTTAATTTTTAAAGGTCTAAACTGAACCATAAGTTTCTCAATTGAAAGAAGGGAGTTCTTAAAATACTTATTGCTGGGCTGGAGGAGTGGCTCAAGTGGTACAGTGCCAGCCTAGCAAGTGCAAATCCCTGAGCTCAAACACCAGTGCCACCAATATATAGGTAACATCTGAAATTATAGCTGCAGAACAGAACAACTAAATGTAATGCAAATGCTCATCCCTTGCTCTCAGTCCTGTGCCAGCCAGGCATCCTTCCTAGGGGCAGCTCCTTCTTCCTTTGAACTCACACTGTTTATCCCATGAGTTTCTAGTACATTTCAGAGAAGGCAATAAAAGTCGCATGAGAACTACTACATGTCTCGTCCATCTTTTCCCAAACTCCTCCCATCGTTAGGGCCTTTGCCATGCCTCCTACAAGACACAGCATTTAAAGTGAGCCCTCAGGCACTGGATGACCATACCGTCAGTGTTGAATTAGACACTTTGAAATGTTTTGCCAGTGATAGGGATGAAACACTGCTCAGAATTGACACCACTGAGGCCAGATTTCCAACTGTAGTTGATGGACTTTGCTGAATGATGGTTGAAAGGTTTTGCACCACAGATGACACGTCTGACTCAGTGACATTGCCTGCAATCACACTGAAATTCTAGAAATAAAAATGGTTAAGTAATGGAGAAAAAAATACAGAAATACTTGGGTATCATCTAATTTAAATCAAATGTCTTGGCCACATACAACTAACATTTGCAAGGTGCAGTGTATCAGAAGATAATTATATAGCAGGGACAATTGTTCTTAGTGTTTCATACATTCCAGACACTGTTAAATGATTAAACGACTTAATGATTGATTCCTTTAAGTAGTCTTTGAGGAAGGTACCATTATTATTGTCATTTCCTAACTAAGGACACTGAAACTTGAAAAGATTTATCAAAAAACATTTTCATATAAATTGATATTTTAATGATACAGAAACATGTTCAGTGGGATTTGGGTGACCTTCCAAGGAGCACTGAGCTACAAAGCAGTAGAGTAAGGTCTAATCCTATTATATTCACACAGGAAGGGAATATGGAGGGATATATATGGAGGTTTGACTACTGGGCTTATGCTAGATCCAGCTTTGTCAGTTGGTTTAGAGTTCTGTTTCTTTCCTTTAGGCCCCCATCTGCTTCTGCTGTGCTGGGCTAACTTGGAGAGCAGCAAAGAAGGAATGTTCCATTCAGTCAACACAAGCCAACTCAGGGTCCCTGCCTCCACCTTTTCTCCTTGTTCTTCTTAGCTGAAGTGCTGTTTTCTAACCAGGGCACATGAGATTTACCTGCTCTTGCAGCCTGGGGTCAACTGACTCCAACTATTGCCCATGTTCAGAACTGAGGCAAAGCAGAGAGAGCAAGAACAGATACCAGAGGTCACCTGGTCCAATCCCCCAGCCCAGGTTACATATCAGGAGACTGAGGACCAGAAAGGCAGAAGTAAATATTCCACAGTCCTTTGATAAATATCATTCTGGAGTTCTCCACTGCAACAGCAAGGGCTTTCCGACTTGGACAGGAGTTCTGCTTAATATTGACATCTACTGACCAGATCATGTCTTGAGGTCCTTCTTTTCTGTGTCTCAAGTTCTGAATCCTGATGATTTACTTCCCTCTTTCTATCTACTTTGTCTTATTACATGACATTCCTAAGAAACCAAGAGTAGAGTTCCTAGCACCAGACTAGAGATCAGTGACCACATTTCTAGATCAATACCTTTGTTATCAGAGAGACCACTGACTCCTTGGCCTTTTGTTTCCTAATCATCTGATTGTCAAACCAGATCCTTAAGACCATTGCAGATAAGTCATTCTACATGGATCACCTCTGCCTAAGCCACTCCTTGCCCCAGTTTCTGACCTGTGTGCATCTTTACTTGTATTAAGCCCATTACCCTCTGACTCACACCTTCACTTTAATCTTCAACTCCCAGTCCTTGTAGACTTCTAAGGCCAGGTGCTGTTGTTCTACCATATATCATAGACCACACCATTGATTCATTTCTCTGCAACACACTCCCAGACAAAACCATTAATTCTGACATTTTTTGATCTTTTGTGCTGTCAACTAGGTTCTACCACATATGTCCATCCTTCCTGGGTTCACAAGTGTCTGAGGTCACCCTCACCTTCTATAGATTGCCTAATGACACAGACAGGTTTATAAGTTTTATACCCCACTTATCCATGCTCACTGGGAGGTGCCCACTGTAAAACTCAAAACCTGGCCAAGTCCATAAAGTGAAGATTCTTCACCTTCTGCAATTCTTCCAGTGCAAAGAGCACACAGGATTCCCTGATGACCTGCCACCCAGAGGATAGACACCTGGCTGTGATGTTCCCAGTATAGCCACTGCTGCAGGACATGACGTACTCATCATTCTCAAACCCAAAGCCAAAGGAAATGCTGTCGCACTGCACTGGAGAAGAATGAAAACAGAGGAAAATGACTCTAGAAAATCCCAGTACTCCATGCAAACCATGCAGTAGTGTTTAAATGCTTTACAAGTCATAGTTTCAGATACAAAACGCAGGCAAAATTCAGAAGTAAGAGAGTATGCCTTTGATGAACAGCATCACCCTCTTAGTTCCCTTTACTCCTTCCTGATGCTCCTTCCCCACGTTGGCTCTTTCTTCCAGGTCTCTGATCTGGCACAACAATATTGCTTTTGGTATGTATTAGGTGGAAATAAGGCAATATCACTCACAGGAAATATTTTCTCTTCTTAAGAAATCACTATAATGCCAGAAAATCTTTAAGAAGTATAGAACAAAGCAGCAATAATGTGGTAGAAAGGTGGGTAACTGAAATTTGGGGGTGATACTTCCTATTCTGCCCCTTTAAACATTTCTGACATTGCAATCAGTCACTAGTTATTCTTATAACTGGACCTTAATAATATATTCTTATCATGATTGGAACTAAAAGGTTGAATGCCAGATCCACAAGGATCACAACTGTGGTTTGTTTCCTTATTGCTGTGTCCTAATGTCTAGACACTATGGGCACCTAATGAATATTTGTTGAATCAATGTTGTTGAACAAAAATGGCACAGATTTTGACAAGAGAAGTTTAAGATTGAATAAAAGTAGCAAAAGATATATATAGCATTTTATTGTTTGCTACAGTCCCCCCACTCTGAATAGAAGAACAAATCTTAGTTCTTCACAGACCTACCTCTCTGCATTACCCACTCCCTACCCAGACACTGGGATCCATTATTCATTCTCAGCTTCTATGAGATCAATAAACGTTTTAGATTCCATGTATGAGTGAATTCCTGTGGTTTTTGTCTTACTGTGCCTGGCTAATTGCATTTAATATGATGTCCTCCAGCTTCATCCAGGTTTCCACAAATGATAAGATTTTATTCTTTTCTATGACTGAATAGTATTATATAATTCAAACTAGCTGGAAGGAAAGGATTCTGAGTATCTTCACTACAAAGAAATGATAAATGTTTACAGTGATGGACATGCTGATCACTCTAATTTACGTACGACACAATGAAAACAAGTGTCAAAATCATCAAGTATCACTTTTACCCCACAGATATATACAATTAGTATGTGTCAATATGAAATGAAATTTTAAAAAAGAAGTAAGAGAACAACAAATTTTTAAGAAAAAAGTGGTGTGTGTAAGTAAAAGACATAGATGTGTGCCTTCGTGCCTTGTGTCCTTGGACTGTGATAAGGGATACTGCCAGTTGGAGATTCTTTGGATGTGTATACCAGTAAGCCTCAATGTTTACACTAGCAGATGGAGATCAGATCACTGATTAGCAAGGACTTCAAATAGTCAGCTGAAGTTCAGTCTTGTCATGGCAGGGAAAACAGCTGCCTATTTCACTGAAAGTCAGTTTTAGAACAATTTTCTCTCTGAAACAACTCCAGTCTACTTTCTGAGGACACAAATGAGCCACTAACTCAAGGATGCTCTTCAAAGAAGCAGAAGATGGGAATTCAGTATTACCTTTCCTGGATACTCTGAAGGAGCTGTCTTCTAGTGGAAATACCTTGCCAAGGGCTGCCTTTGCCTTCTCAGCCACCTGCTCAATGGCAGACAGCAGTTCAGAGGTGTTGCTAGAGCCAATGACTTCATAACCAACAATGATGCTTCCTTCTCTGGAATGAGGAAAGAAAATAAAGTTTACAACTCACCCAAGGACTCCTGGCATTGAGTTCACAGGAATAAACCTAGCAGATCTGATACTTACCTTCATGAAACTTACTATCTAAAAGAGAAGGCAAGGCAAATAAGATATAAGTAACTGTCAAATACATACACCCCCTCACAGGCCACACATCTAGAAATGTTAAGTGTTATGAGAGATGGGTACAGTGATAAAAATAGCAGGGGGAGGTGAAGCCACACATTAAATAAGGCTGGTCAGTAAAGTCTTTTCTGTGCAGAAGGTCTTTGAAGGTGAAAGTCAAAGAATAAGAAGAAAAGGCCCAGTGATAAAAAGAATATTGTTATAGAATCTAAGCACGTGTAAAGCCCTGAGTTCGAACCCTAGTATTGCCCCCAAAAATACTCTATATTAAAAGGCAATAGCATGATTATTTTTATTTTCCTGTTTTGAGGCAGGAAAATGACCTGAGTATAGCAAAGTTAAAAGATTGGCACGACTAGAATTCAGCAAGGAGCCAGGGAGAAAGACAGAGGAGGTATTTTGGAGAAGTAGCCAGGGGTCAGATCACGTAGGACCTTGGAGTTTGAATTTTACTCTTTATTTTAAAAGTTTTACTCTATGGGAGGCTGAGACTGGGAGGATCAGAGTCCAGGCCATTCTTGGCAAAAAGTTCACGAGACTTCATTTCAAAAGAAAAAAAACTGGGTATGACGGCATACTCCTGTCATCCCAGCAACTGCAGGAAGCATAAATAGGACTTCTGTCTAAGCCTGCACTGGCAAAAAAGTGAACCCTACATCAACAAACTAACCAGAGCAAAAAGGGCTAGAGGTGTGGCCCAAGTAATAAAATACCTGTCTAGCAAGCACAAAGCCCTGAGTTCAAACCCTAGTACTGCCAAAAAAAAAAAAAACCAACCTCTATATTAAAAGGCAATAGCATGATTATTTTTATTTTAAGATCATTGTTCTGGCTGCTGGGTAAGAAGAAAATTGAAATGAAGCAGCAAGGAAGCAGGAATATTAGGAGAGAGGTGGTGTGGCTAGAAGTACCTGGGCGGCAATGAGAAAAGCAGTCAGGTTCAGGTTGTATTTGAAAATAGAGGCATGGTACTTGCTAGAGAAGCAGATTTGGAGTGGGAGAGAAAGAAACCAATCAAGAATGACTTTACAGAAATCATTATGTTAAATAAAATAACCCAGACTAGAAAAGAAAAATATCACATGTTCTTTTTCATACGTGGTATCTAGACCTTAAAACAAATGAATGACAGCAGTGTTGAATGGGGACTATTTAGGGTGGGAACCAGCAGGAGAGAAGAAGGCAAAAAGGAGAGGGTGAAGGGAGGCATTGAATATGATCAAAATACTATGAAGTAAATAAACATATGTATAGAAATAGAGTAATGACCTGGTAAAATTTTTAAAGGGGAAATGAGAAAGAGAAATAGAGGAGATAATTTGATCAAAGTACATTATATGCATGTGTGAAAATACCACAAGGAAACCCCCTTGTATAGTTAATATACACTAATAATAAAGAAGACCCCCCCCAAAAAAAAAGGAAAAAGAATGACTTCACAGAATGGAAAAATAAAGTTTAGAGGCAGTGGAATATTACTGGTCCATATAAAGGAAGAAACAAGAAAAACAAGGCTGAATCTCAAAGCCATTGTGCGGGTGAAAGAAGCCAGATACACAAAAGTCTACATTCTAGGTGAATCCATTTGTATGATGTTCTACAGCAGGTAAAGCTGACCTCTGGTGGAGTGCTGGAGGGGGTCATGGAGGATGGAAATGTTCTGTCTTGATAGAAAGGGTTTGTGCAAGCATTTATCAAAGCTGATGGAACGGTACACTTAAGATTAAGTGCAACCAGGTGCCAGGGGCTCATGCAAGTTACTTGGGAGGCTGAGATCAAAAGGGTTGTGGTTCAAGGCCAGCATGGGCAAATAGTTCATGAGAATACCTGCTTTGAAGCATGAAGCTGAGTTCACCACTACCACCACTCCCCGCCCCCTGCCAACCAAAATAAAAGGGTAGAGTGCATATGTAAATGATATGTTATAGAATAAATTAAAACAAAGGGTGACTCAAGATGTGAGTGTGCAAATGGAAACACAGCATCACTGCAGATGATATGGGAGGATGGTAAAGAAGGAGGTGGATGAGTAAGATGGGGAGAGCTGGAGGATCTGTGGTGGACACTTTGGATTTGACATACTCACTGGAAAATCAAGTGGAAATGTCAAGTTGGCAGCTGGATATTAGGGTCTAGAATTCAGAGGAGCAGCCAAGCATAAGGCACAGAGTTGGGAACCATCAGTAGACAGATGGTGTTTGAGGCTCATTAATTTATGAGATCACATGTATTAATTAATTTAATCCTGCAAGTCATTCAAGAAGTAAGCACTGTGTTACCTCCATTTTAAAGACAAGAAAAACGAGACCCCAGGAAAAGTTGGGTCCAGTATCAATAATTATTAATTGATAGGTTAGAACTTCTGAAGCTCCAGAGCTCAAATTCTTAATCACTCCTGCAATTTATAAATGAATCCAAATACCCTTTTGTGGAATGATGGCCATGATGCCTTTGCATCGATATGGCCCTTTTACATTGTTAACATATTTTCTACCTATCATTCATTTGATTTCAAGAGGTCAAATCAGGTTTCATAGGTATTACCTGTAAGAGGTGAAGATTTGTTTTTAATTATGTTTGGAAGAGCTGTACTTACAAGCTTATGCCTCCTTTAACTGTGATTGTATCTACAAATTATTAGAAATAGTTTTAAAGACATACATGATGGAGTGTGAGCTAGAAATATAAGCAGGACCAAGGAAAAGAAAAATATGAACATTAAATACAAAACCTATTGTGCTGAATTTCAATTTTGTCTAGGAGTTAACCAGCAACAAAGTCAAAAAGGAAACTGTGAGCAATTATATAGACCCATATAAGAAAAAAGGAAGTAGTATTTTCCCCAGCACTGAATTTTAAGGAAAATTATATCTATGTGGCACTTAATAGAAAGATATGGGTTTACTTAAAAGATAATGCCCAGGGCGATATACTTGCAACAAATGCTGTCGAAAATTTCCTATAGTGGCTTTAGGTGACCTATGAAAAATAATAATGAGTAACTTGTCTGATGTCTAAGCTAATTCCTCTAATGACCAGACTATTAATAGTTGGCAATCAACATACACATGATTAACTAACCAAATAACTTTTGGAATTAGAGCATTAACAAAAGGATAATTTACTAAATAACTCTTTACTATAAACAATGATTATTGGGTTTTGAACTAGGATATGTGCATGACACCTGCACAAAAAAGTTAATACTTCACCCAAGGCTTTCCTTGTGGCTCCAAATCATATAACATCATTTCCCCAGTGTCTGTGGAAGGAACCAATTTCACCTCTCTACAAACCACACTCCTCACCCCCTTCTCTTAACGCATTCTCACACATACACACCATGATTTCCTGCTTCTGTCCAAAGTTTTGCCTTGTTACTTTGATTTTGCAGTTCTATTCTTTAATCTACAGCTTTAAGACTGTTCTTCAACATTTAAGTTCCTAAACTCATTTAAATGAGAATCTAGGCTTCCTCTTCAGTTTTTTGAAAGCATTATAACCTCTTGTCTGGTTGGTAAGAATTATACTAGGAAGGCTAGTTCTGCCTTGTTTTTGATCAAGGTCACTTGAAAACAGCACTCAGCACTCTCAGCCCTGCTACATAATTTTGGAGGTGCCCTTCTAAGGTCATTATTTTACTTACCGAAATTGGGTGACCTGAACTGACTCAAAACTTTGAATTTCCTTGAATACTTCTTTAAGCTTAGAAAGAAAACAAAGAGAATTGTGTTAATCTTTGTCCTCATACTTCAGAAAGACATTTGAGCAAAAAACTGGATAAAGACAATAAATAAGCCAACATTAGCAAATGAGCAAAGAAAAGATGTACTGTGGAAAGCAGTTGCATGTCATAACAAGTGCAGTGAAAATGCTAGTTGAGAATGTACACAACACATACACACATATACTTATAAAATTTACTTTTCAGGTTGCTAACAAAAGTGAGAAATCAGGTGTGGGCTGCGTGCTATGGCTCACACCTGTAATCCTAGCTACTCAGAAAGTGAAGATCATGGGGATCTGGTTTGAGGTTAGCCTAAGCAAAAAGTTAGCCCAGACAAGACTTCATGTCAACCAGTATCGAGGAGTGGTAGGATGCCTGTCATCCAATCCATCATAAATAGGAGGACCACAATCCAAACTGGCCTGACCATAAACTCAAGACCCTACTTGAAAAATAACTAAAGAAATAGGGCTGGGGACATGGCTCAAGTAGTAGAGTACCTGCCTAGCCAGCACAAAACCCTGAGTTCAAACCACATTACCACCCCCCACAAAGGGTGAATAATCAGTTTCCTAGAATGGGTGATTTTGGTGCCAGATAACATAAAAAATTCACACCAAATTATTTTCTCCTCATAATAAAAAGCTTTTAATTTGCAGAGATACTTCAACTGAATCCATCTGCTCATGGCTTCAGTGAGAGCCACAGCTGAGCCCTCATTTTAGGCAGGGGTACACTCATCTGGTTCTAGTGTGGTTTCAGGATGAAGCCCATCATTTTTTTTGGTAACTCTTCAGCCTTTAACAAGAAAGTCTCCTTTATGGAACAAATCTAAACTGCTGACAATGGAGCTTAAGTCACAAAAATTTTCTTTTAACAAATAAAAATCAGAAAACAATCAAGTCTTCCACAGACAAATAAGTGAGTATAACTGAATGAAGAGAACTAGAAATCCAACAAAAAAAGCTTTCCTAGAAAAAAAAATGCTCAAGGAAAGACAATTGTGAGCAAAGCAAATAACTTCTCCATAATAACTCATTGAAAAGAAAAGAGAATATTATTAAATTTATATGCTGAGTTGAGAGTATCTAAATATCTACATATTCCCAAAGAATTCCTTATGTAATAAGTAGAAAGGGCTTACTTGATGTTCAATTTCAGTTGTGTATTTGGAGTATAAAACAGAAGATGAATTCAAAAGATCTTTGGAAAATCTTTCATTAATTTTGAAAGTGCCCCAAACCTCTATGGGAAATAGAGAGAAGTTTTTAGATACAACACATTTCTAACTTACAATTTTATTAGGAGCATAACATTATAGAAGTATAATTCAAAGTCCGTCTATTCAACAGTGAATAGTATTTCAATCTCCTTCATAATAGATTCACCTAAAATAATATAGGAAGCATACATAAAACCAGAGTTTTCAGCTGTGGCTATGCAACAGTAACGGGAGGGAAAGTGGTAGTAATCAAGATAACCTTCCAAGTAGATAAATCTATGGCCACTCATGTGTAGGTAAAAAAGGCAATCACTGAGCCCCAAAATGTGTCCCCATAGAGACAGAAAGCTTCATCACTGTCCCCACTCCTTTCTAACTTCAGCATTTCCTCTAGCTTACAAGCCCATTTCTAGTGCTCTTCACACAGGGATGAGTCTCTATATGGGCAAATCCTTGTATCCTTCACATCAAGAACTAATCATATCTCACCTATTCTGCAAGCCCTTCCCTGATCCCCAGATGCAGGGTCTTATCCAACTGCACATTCCTACGGTACTTTGTCTATACCTCCCTTAGAACATCTTGTACCTAAGCACCTATTTGTTTACATATCTCATCTATCTGTGCCCCCACTGTACTATGGGAAGCCTCTTATGAGTGTAATCCCAGTCTGATTCTTCCATGTATTTCCTGAAGATGGACCATCTTTCAATAGGTAGTATTTCATTATTATCTGTTGAAGAAATTACATTGTTTTTACCAGATGTAATGGCTCACACCTGTAATCCCAGCTACTTTGGAGGCAGAGATTGTGAAGATCACAGTTCAAGGACAGCCTGGGCAACCTTCTGAACAAACAAGCTGGGCATTGTGGTTCACAACTGTAATCCCAGCTATGCAGAAGGCATGGGTAGAAGGATCATAGTAGTCTAAGGCTGGCCTGGGAAAAAAGTGTGAGACCCTATCTGAAAGATAACTAAAATAAAAAGGGGTGAGAGCATGGCTCAAGTGATAAAGCACCTGCCTAGCAAGCACAGACCTAGTGCCACCCCCCAAAAGAAAGAAAGAAAGAAAGAAAAAATTACATTGTTTTCTTTCTTATAGTACAGCCTGGTCTCCCCATAGCCTGGTAATTCATAGATAACAAGCAAAATTCTTTGTGACCTCTCCTAGAATTTGCCCCAGAGCTAGGTGTAAAGATGGTGCTTAATAAACAAATAAATACATGTTGCCATAACCTGAATTGGTGCCATTGTGGGAAGGGGAGCCAAGGAGATCCAGTTAAGCTGATCAGTTGCAGGCTCCTCCCTCCATCTTTCCTCAGCTCCAAAATCCAGAGCTTCAAGATGACCAGAGTGGTTTCTGGGGAAGCTTCTCCAAGTCCTTCACGCTCTGAAGTCCATATCATTTGGCTGCCTCGTCTTTCATTAGACATAAACCTACGCCAACAGTAGTTCCTTCAGCCTCCACTGGTTTCCTAAGCTAGACTTAACATTTTGTTTATTTGTTTCTTTGGTGATGCACTTAAGCGCACATATTTGTTGACAATTTAGTTCAGCTCTTCCAGTGCAATCACCTCATGTTCCTCTCTGCTTTCAGACCTCTAAAATTGATCTTGGCAAAGAAGCGAAAGGAGAATAGGAAGAAAAATGTTGCTCAGACAACTGACTACTAAATCTCAGCAGAACTGTATAACTGCAGAGCTGAGCTAGACATACCTAGAGACTGAAACAACACCCAAATGTCACCTTTTGTTTGCAGATCTGCACTTATGAAGCTCTAATTTGGTTCAGACAGGCCTCACAGGGTACATCATCATTGTTCTTCAAGCTCCCTGTAAGTACTAGCTCTCTTCAGTGCAGCTGGAGGACTCCCTCTGTTGCATGCTGGGGTGGGAGAGGCCCCAGCCCAGAGGGGTGGACTCAGAATCCTCTGCTTACTTGCTCTCTCACAGAAGTTGACGCTGAGGTTGAGGTTGTTGAGATGGCATTCACAGCTTGGAAGGGATCCAGTCGTGCGCAGGTAGCAGTTCTGGGGATCGAGGCACGAGGGAGAAAACCAGGTGTAACCGTCTTCACAGGCACATCGCAGGCCCCCATTTAGGCTGCCACAGTCTGCAAAGGAAACAGAACATGGTTTTATGGAGTCTAATCTACAAATTCTGAGTTCTGGTCCTTGGCTCTGTCTTGGAATCTGAAGCAAGTATTCCTCAACAGAAGCTGGAAGGATTAAGTCAGGTTGAAAAAAAATGTCTAAGATAAGGAAATGTTTCACGCAAACGATTCTGAGGTTGGTATCAGAAATCTAACAAACATAAAACTCGAATGGCTGGGCTTACCATTCAAAACAAGGGTGGACATCCCGTAAATATCTGCTACAATGGAAGAGAGAAGCAGGAGAGGGTGTTTGAAATACAGGATTATTCAAAGTATTCTAGAAGGCATTTGACCACTATCTGAGTGGGGTGTTACTCCATCCACCTGCCACCACTCCAAAATAGGCCCTAAAAAGCAATGGCAAAGTCAGAGAGACGTTGTGGGGAAAGTCATAATGGAAACTTGCATTAGTTAATCTTGTATGTTCATTCTTTTGTATTGAATCTGAAATTTCCACCAAAAGTCCTTCCATTTTTTAATAGACAAAGAAATGGGGCAAAGTCACCAGCCACCTTTGTGAAAATAAGCATGGTGGTGTAAAGTGAATGGTTCTCAGAATCCCCTGGCGAGTCTGACTCCAGAGTCTCTGATTCAGTAAGTCTAAAATGGGAAGAAGATTTTGCATTTCTGTTAAGTTTCCTGGTGCATCTGGCCGGTACACATTGAGAATCACTGTTTTAGACAAGTCATTGAACCTGGCTAAATGCCACCTACATGGGGAATAGTGCTGTTTACCAAATATTTCTTGCTATGTTTCAGCACATAACAGGATTGCATGTCCTGGCCTCTTAAGGTTGTGTAGGGCCATGGAACAAGTTCTGACCAATAAAATGTGATCAGAATTATTGTGTGTGACTTCTGAGTCAAAGAATGCAACTGCTTATGTGAAACTCTCCAGTGTTTTATTGCTTTTAGGCTCAGAATATGTACATTTAAGCCAGAGTCCAAATCTTCAGTCTGGGTGAAGACCACAGATGCATTCCCTCTGTTACCCTGCAATGGTATAGAGCATGAAAAAGAAACACATCATAACCTACCCTACACCGAATGATTTCCCCACATCCCCCATTTACATTCCCAGTCACCACAGAGCTGGCTTACGCGTAGTGGCCTTCACCCTGTTAATCTGTGTTAGGCCATGCCAGCATGACAATGGAGACTTCAAGAGCTTCTGAAAACTCTCTTCCAAGTATCTCTTCTCCTTGGAATTTCTATAGGTCACCTGAAGCAGCAGCTCATATTCCTGGCCTAGGTGGAAAGAGGGAAAAAGAGAACATCAGAAAACTTGTCTGTCTGGGGAGGTTGGAGAAGGGGGGAAAGAGATAACTGAGAAGTGACTCTGCATAGAGGTCATGAACTGAACTATGCTGCTTGTTACTAAGTTCCGCTCATCCAGACACTGACTGAAAATGAACATTCAGAGTAAATACAAGCAGATATTTCCACACGCATACTACGTCTCACCTGGGCCAAGGCAATGGTTTCCATGCTCTATACAATCGGACTAAAAGAAAAGAAGTGAGAACATCCTACCCAATCTTCCTTGCTTCCCCCAACTCCAGTATCTTTGAAGTATCTCTCATACAAAATCTCTCTATTATAAAACCCCAACCTCACCCTTTTCAAAGAGTCTTTTCTTCTCTTGCAAAAAACACGTCCCATTAATTGAGTTAGAGTGTTTATATCAAATACAAAAGCAAAACAAAACTAAACCTTAACTTGAGTCATGGTACAAACTCCCCTCCAGCTAATTATCCTTCAAAATAAATAATTCTCTTTTCTTTTGCTAAAGATAGATCTTCTGTACCTTTTGGCTTTGTTTTCCTCACTCTTCCTTCACATACCAGACAAATTCTTACCCCTGGGCCCTAGCCTATGCTGGGCATGCAGCCATATTGACAAAGTTTGAATCTTACTCACATTCCCTAAATCTGTACCTTAATTTCATCATCTGTAAAATAAAGATGTCCATAGTGTGAGGATTTACTTCATTTAATGTTTTAGACAAGAGGGAAGATAAATCCTATGAGTTTTCTCTCAACCAAAATTTATTTTGATACCTCCATGTGAAACTTGTTTTGAAATAATCTGGAGGCTTATCTATGGTTGACCCAAGATCTTACTTTTATCTCATACTGTCTACATCTCCTTATAGGCTAGAACCTCTGCACCGGGCTTTGAGAGTCACCCCAACAAGTGAGTAACAGGAAAAAGGGTGACTCTGGTCACATTGTCAGTGATTAATGGAGTCAGATTGCCTGGTACAATAAATACTTGCTGTATTTTTATTGTCAATTTTTACTGTCAGGGAAAATGTATTCATGGCATTCCAAGTTGAAATTTTTATTTCATTTTCCTGAAGACTTATAGTCATGCATGTTCTTTGGTACTATGTTGTTATATAGCAAATTCATATGATTGAAAGGTTGCTGAGGACTGACTCAGGAATCTAATGACCATTGCATGGGTCACTATTTCTACAAGGAAATACATTTAGCACTTGAAACATCAGACCTGCAAATTAAATTTCACAACAGAACTCAGTCCTAGACTGAGGACTCTGCCCATTAATTATGTTGTGAGGATAGAGGCACAGAAGAAAAGAAAGAACATGGAACAAATACGTGGCCAGTATGGTGCAAGATCTTATGCCTTTAGTATGTTGTCTAATTCTCACAAATGTCTTGTTTTGAGGAATTGCTATTATAAATCCTCATTTGATAGATTTTGAGTATTTCATAGCATTCCTAAGATAACACATCTCATCAGAGGCACTGCTGGTAGAAGAGCACTGTTCACTAACATCCATGGTACCAAGCTATCTAACCAAGTCTTACCTGCATGCTTTTTCTCATCCACTCTGAGTGTTCTTTTTGTTTTGATGCCATCATTTCTATGCTAAAAGGAAAGAAGATACTATGGTGAGGCTTTGGAGAGTTACAAATCAAAGGTCTTGTTGTTTCCCATATGAAACTGGAATCAAAGAACTAAAATGTAAACCAAGATGGCGTCAAGGTGGCCAGAAAATGTCTCATGGAGGCTACTTTTGAGCAAAGACCTGAACAATAATGTTTTTAATGTGAAGATTTCTGGAAAAAGAACTTTCCAGGCACAGGAAATAGCAGGTGCAAAGGGGTAAGAATCTGTCTAGCATGTGAAGGCAGAGCAAGTGGGAGGAGAGGAGCAGGAAGTAACATCATAGTCTCCAGAGAGGCAGGTTATATAAATGTTTATAGACCAGGAAAAGGGTTTTACCTTTTACTTGAGTGAGATATGGAGAGTTTTAGATAGAGGAAATGCATATCTAATTTACTTTATTGAAACCTCAATCCAGAAGCCACGTTGAGAATAAACAATCACAGAAGCAATAAGAGCACTTCAGGGATCATGGAAATAAGACAGGTGATGGATAATGAAGGAATGCATCAAGGTAACAGCTATCGAGGTAGTGAATGAATTCTGGATATATTTAAATATGAGCTAAAAATGAGTTTAGATATGAAATGTGAGAAGAGTCAAGCATGACACCAAGGTTTCTTTCCTGAGCAGCTGGAGAGATGGTGATACCATTTGCTGAGATAAGAAGGAGAGTAGGTTTGGTGGAAAAAAATCAAGAGTTTTTATTTTGGACATATGAAATAGAGGACTTTTAGGTGCTAAAGAGGAGATAATATATATGTGGTGGATATGTGAGTGAGGATTCCAGGGGGAGAGGTCTGAGATGGAGATATACATTTGGGAGCCATCAATATGTAGAGAACATTCAAACAATGAACCTGGATGAAAGCATCAAGAAAGTTTAGAGATAAGGAGGAGAAGAGAACTATTAATGTCAACTGTGAACCCATGTGCTTTTTCTGGACCCATAGCCACACAAGATCTCCAAGATTCTCATTTTGCCCTTCAGTCACCAGAGCTTGAAGTCATCAGACTTACCCAAGGCCCCACCATGAATGTTGGTGGCATTGAGTCAAGAACTCAGGACTGCTGATTCTAAGTCCATCAAATTGTGTAGTTTCAGTTGCCTAGAGAGTAATAGATTCTAAACTTGCCAGAAGGAAAGATAAAGGATGGTTGAATAGATAAATGGGACATTTGCCAACTTACCCCCAGGTGGCTGCAGTAGCCCTCAGTAAAAGTGAAGAAAGAGATGAGCCACAGCACCCCAACTCTCATTTTCCACAGCTACCTTCTTCCTTTCTGAATGGAATATAAACAGTTAGATGCACAGTTTGTGACTGGAAAAGCAGTGTACTCTGTAGGGCTGAGGTGCAAACATAAGCATTGCCAGCAATATGGGGAAAGGCACACCATGTTAGGGCACAACGGAACTGGTCATTACCCCTGTGTGTTTCATTATTTTTCTAATTCCCATAGCCTGGGATACCATTACTTCTGCTCCCACTTAGAAGTGGTAAATTTTCATCATTGCATCTCATTAGAAAGTTGTTCTAACCCTCTCTTCCAGGTGATCAAATTTGACCAAACACACTTTTGAAATCATGACTTACTTAACATTGTACCTAGATCCACTTAACTTCAGCCTTTTAAGTATCAATGAAATTTCCTTTTCATCTCAGGAAATATAAGCATTGAAATAACTAAGGACTAAGAACCACAAGCATGGGGATAGATTTTGAGTGTTGAAACATAAAAAACAAATCTAACAAATTTCCTTCTTTTTAGTTGATGTAATTAGCAATAAATTGTTCTCAAGTTTTTAGTTATGTCAAATAATTTGGACAAAACTCAGCACATAGACACGGGCACAAAATTAACACTTTACACCCAGGTTATTTGCTGTCAAAGAAAAATCACTGCAAGTTAGAACTGACCTGTCCAATACAGTAGCCACCGGCCACATGTGTTTCTCTAATTTTAAATTTTAATTTAAAAATGTCTTAATTGCACTAGCCCTATTTCTAATGCTCAATAGCCATGTATGGCTACCATGTTGGGTAGTGTGTCATAGACCACTTAACATCACTGCTAAAAGTTTTATTGGACAGCATTGACAGAACTGGAAAAATAACCCTATGGGCATTCAGCACTTCTCTTGTACCTCCACAGAAAAAGGTTTTTTTTTTTAAATACGATTTTCAAACTCTATCATTGGATAAGTGTCTTTGATAGAAGTACAGAGAACAGAAGTTGGCCATCCCTGCCAGCCCTACCTTGCTTCCTAGGTGAACTTTAAACTTCATACCAATACTGCCATTCCTGCCAGCTGCCCAACACACTGCTCTGTGATCTAAAGAGAAGAGAAAGTCATTAGGGATAGGGTAAGGACTACTGTGGACATGACCCATTTTTCAGCAGAGACCTTTTCTAGGCCTTTCTAGGGAGGCATGAAAAATAGGTAATGTGGCACATACAACTTTTATATTTACCTCCCTTCCTGGGTCAGTGGTCTGCTCCTGTCCCACCTTCCTGTTTGCCAAGACTCCTCCTAAATCTATATTTGCATATTTAGCAGCCTGGGTTCCAGCTCATTCTCCTAGGTCTGGCTTCACAAAGCTTATCTGCCTATCCAGTTCCTTTGGTACACACAATTCCCTTTGGGATAGGGTTGAAAGAGTTAGCAAATAAAAACATGAGACACCAAGACAAACGCGAATCTCAAATAAATAATGAGTGAGTTTGAATAGAAGTATGGGACATCATCAGCTGTCAAAAATATTTGTCATTTATCTGAAATTCAAATTTAACTAGGTATCTTGTACTTGACAACTAGTTGATGGTGGGAAAATTACATTTTAAGGCACTAGGATCAAAGGAGACTCTGTAGGTAGACTGCTTTCTGCTTTCCCAAAATGACAGATGTTTTCTCTAGAGAAATGTTTCCAAAACTTTTTTGAAGGGTTACATAGAAAGAAATATATGCAATATATCTTGAGTTATATAGTCAGTCTGCCTCAAATAAACAAAGAAATATGTGTTATAAATAAATAAACACACACACACACACACAGATGACCTCTGTAGCTGTAGGGAATTGGTTCTAGAACCCCTGAAAATACCAAAATCTGCAGATGTTTGTCCCTTATATAAAATGGCATAGTATATACCTACAACCTACACAGATGTTTATATATAATTTAAATCATTGCTAGATTCCTTGAAATACACAATACAATGCAAGTGCTTGCAAACAGTTGTTGTACTGTATTGTTCAGGGAATAATCACAAGGAAAAAAGTCCATGCATGTTCAGTATGGCTGATTGAATCATGGATGCAGAATCAATGGATACAGAGGACCAGCTGGGTTTTACTGCATGTATAAATATATGTGTGTATACACCCACAAATACATACACATAAAGTACCTGAATTGTTTCCTGGGATGTGCCTTGGTATTCTTTAGATGTTGTAATTTAATTTTTATTAGTACATTGTCAAGCCTGACTATTCTGATATTACAACACCCTCATGAATTCAGCCACATTACAGAAGGAAGTTGGTTTCTTTCCAGCCCATTTCCCACTTTTTCTCAACTTAGGATTCTTTTTATTTGAATTCCAAGATATTGTATGGGCCGTGGTTTATAGAACTGGAGCAGTTAAGTAGGATAGTGGTCTTCATGCCTTTGGATATGACTTGTTTTCTTTCTTTGTGCCAGGGCCTGCTTCCAAGAGAAAGCTTTGGTCTTCATATGGTACATATGGTTCCCTCCAACCTCCCACTCTCTCCTTCTGAAAAATCTTTCTGCCATGTGTATTCCAGGCCTGTGGAATAAACACTGCTCAAGGAAGCCTGGTGAAAGCTCTGAGCATTGTAGAGAAGCCTCCTCTTCTACGCTCAGTTCCCTATTCCCTCTTCTGCCCACACTGCTGGTGTACTCTGAGCTATCCTCTTAGACTTTCAAGAAATGATAAACTGTTAACTGGTCTATTGGCTGATCTTGAATAGATGGACAATAAAGAGAGAAGCAGGGGAGGGACGGAAGAGAAGAATGAGAAAGAGGAGAGAAAGGCAGAAGAGGAGAAAAGAAAACATTTCAAGCTTACTAGAAAATACAGAGGTCCCTATCTCTCCCTAAACCTCCTAAATCTTGAGCAAGCCAAGCCTAGCCATAGATATCATTAAAGCTACACGAGCAATACTCATCTCCAGGCAGGTGTAAGAGCTATTAGTCCAGATTGCTTGTAAGATAGGAAAAAAGACTTATTCTATGATTGAAGTCCTACTTTCAGGTTTGGTACCAAAGTTTGAACTAATTAAAAGTTTTTCTTTCCTTCCTTGGTGCATATAATTCCCTTTGGGGTAAGGTTAGAGAAGTAAGCAAATAAAAACAGAAGACACCAAGACAAACTTGAATTTCAAATAAATAACAAGTAAGTTTTAGTGTGAGTATGCTCCCTGTGAAATTTAGGACATTCTCAACCATCAAAAATTATTTATTGTTTATCTGAAATTCAAATTCAACTGAGCATCCTGTACCTGACAATAGTCAGTGGTGGGAAAATCGTACCTCAAAGCTCAGGAATCAAAGGAGGCTGTACAGCTAGACTTCCTGAGATGCGGCTTCCAGCTTTGACATTTACCACCTGGGCGCCCTGTGACATTTTCTTAGGCTCTCTGTACTTTAGCTTACTCATCAATGAGAAGAGGGAAATAATATCTAATTCAATGGATTGTAGGAGAATCAAACGAGTTATGGCAGGTAAAGAACGCTGAGAAGTCCTAGCAGGTGCTAAGCCTCGACTATGGTTACCTATTCATATTAGCACTGCTGTGACTTCCATCTTACTTCCAGTTGTTATAGTTCCTTGTTGAATTGTGTCAGAATTTAACTTCAGTTCTGAGTCAGATGATCGTATGGTGCTCCTGGCTTGGTGACCACTATTGTGTAGGTGGAGGGAATCCCAGCCTCTTGATAATATAAGTATGTCTCACAGGAACTGGATGATCTGACTCACAGGAAGACATTCAGCAATAATGATGTCAGTTTACACTCTGTGTACACAGTAATTATAAATCCCATTTAACCCTGCCTTTAATAGACATAAACTTCCCCTTACAAGCCAGAAGGATCCTGATAATTAAGAATTTTTCAGAATCCTTGTTTATTCTCACAGACAAGAAGTTGTCATTGTCACCAGAGTGTAGGCATTTACATCACACCTCACTTTGAAGCAGCCAGAAGCCAGTCAGGCCTGACCTACAGCTGGGTTGGCACTGGCTTCTGTGGCAAGGCTTGGCCATGGTGGGACCCCCCTCTGCTTCCTGGAATTCATTCCAGTGAATTCATTTCTGATAATCCTTGTCCTTCATTTTACAACAAACAATCATTAGAATTTACTATTATGCCTCTGGAGGCAGCAGTCCATTGTCTCCCTATTCTTTCAGTTATGTATTTATGGACTCCAAATATCATTTATTTACGTCAACAGCTCCCCTTATCCACAGTGGTGCTCACTTGGAACTGCTCACACCTACACTCTCAGCATTTATAGCAACAATCTAATCTTAGGCACAGTTGAACTCTGAGTTACTTTTCTGGCTTCAATATTTATGGGATTATGTTTCTTCTCTATAAATAGAAGTGTCCCCAGAAGAATTGTGTCCTTTCTCTCTGTCTTAGACTCACAAAGCCTACATGTGCATATGTGCATACATTTCTCTCTCTTTCTCTTTCTCTCTCTCAGCAGGACTATACATAGTATCTAAAGGAAATCATGCCTAAAATAGGATCAGGTAGAGGACCTGTAAAACCTTGGTTTTCAATTCAGGTTATAAACATATATACATGGAAATGTCACAACGAAACTCCCTATATAGCTATATTAAACAAACAAATTTTTTTTTTCAAAAATAGAGAACAGGAAGATAAAATAGCTCCTGTCTGGGAGCGGACACAGTGGGAGATAGGAGGATATAAGGAAAGGGTAGAAGAGAGTGAATGTAATAGAAATATTATGTACTCATGTATAAACATGGAAAAATGTGACCAGCTGAAACTATTCCAGTAGTGGGGTAGGGAGGGGATAAATGAGGATGATGGAGGGGGTAAATTCGACTGCGATATAATGTAAGAGCTTTTGTAAATGTCATAATGTACCTCCAGTACAATAATATGATAATAAAAAATAAAACCTTGGTTTTATATTACTTCTCATTTTATAAGTTTTGGTAATATTTTCATTGGGATGTCTTTGTATAGGAACTCTTAGGCCACTTGCCTTTGAGACAAGTTTCCTTATTAGGTAGATAAAATAGAGAAGACAGCTGAGAAAACAGGTGAGAAGACAAGGAAAGTAACCAATTCCACATCTTTAAAAATATTTGGAGCTTTGGTAAATTTTGTGAGCCAGACAAACTTCCTCTGGAAGGAGAATAAAGCTATTTCAAATCTCAGTGGATGTCTATAGATCCACATATTGTGTGTGCACAGCAAACTATTTTCTTCTTAAAATTTACTACCATATAATATTTGTACAGGGGATACATAGTAATATTTACATATATGTTACAATAGATCTTAGTTAGATTTTTGCCCCCTCCATCATTCTCCCTCTTCTCCCTCCCCCTTCTTAGAACAATTTCAACAGATTTCATCCTTCAATTTTCATATATGGATACAAAGCACATCCACCATATTCACCCTCATTCACCCCTCCCTGTGCACACCCCCTCCCACTGGCACCCACCCCTAGAAAAGACTTATTTTCCATCTGCCCTTCATTTTTTAAAATGTATTTTGATGGTCCAAGGGAGTTTCACCTTGGTATATATATCTATATCATGCTTTAATCAAATTAACCCCCACCCCTCAGTTACTTATTCTCTATCACCATGCTCCCCTAATAGTCAACACTTTTAGTACCATATATTACAGTCATATATAGATGGGTTGTTTCAATATTTTAAACATGTGTTTTATACTTTAGCATGGTTTTAGCATATTTATGTTCATAAACACAGTGGGGAGAGACCTGGATAAATTAGAGCCTATTTTCAGGTTTATCCCTTATAGGTGAGCACTTGCAAAGCTTTGAAAAAACCTCTGTGGAGTCAGTTTCTTCTCCTTTTAAGTAAGAGGTAAAGCAAGGGAAGCCCAGGTCTGTTCACACCCAGATTCACTTACTATATTCCTGTTTCTCTTTCATTAATGTCTGATGTCATCAAATCTAAGCCTGAAAAGACTGAAAGTTTTTGCTGGTCTTTACTATTATTTTCTGCCCAAACTGGCTATTAAATTCTTGGACATCTTTTGAGATGGACTGAAAACCTACTAAGAATTAAGCCGT